CATCAAAAAGAAACTAGCATACGGCATCCACGCTCTGATTATTAAAACTCGTCCATACTTCAAACGTTCCACTTTACTGTCACTCTACTATTCATTCGTTCATTCTCATATTATTTATGGCATAATGTGCTGCGGTAACACCTATAACAATCATTTGGCTTCCCTTCAAGTGCTACAGAACCAATCCATAAGAATCATTACTAACTGTTCACGTTTTTGTAACGGTAAATGCCTACTTCATGATAACAACATTTTGACCATTTCAGAGCTCCTCAATTACAACTTAGGTATCATATTCTATAAATACATGACCAAGACACTACCTCCTATCTGCTTCTCATCTTCCGACCTTGTTGCTCATAGTAATACTAGATTTGCACGTAACAATAACGTCCTTTTGCCTAAGGTATGTTCAACTAACTGCTGAATTTTCATGTATAGCATTTTGGAACACAATACCATCTGTTATTAGTAATGCTAGAAACTTGCATCACTACAAGAAAAAACTAAAATCACACATTATGCATGCCTAGTCTTACTGTTTCATAGCGCTACCTTGTTTGAATGTCCACTTGTTATGTATTACAACTTTTTGTATTCTTTTTCAGTTATACTTTTCACATTATTTATTGATTCATTTGGTTTCCTTTTATGTTTGTTTTCCTTTGGTACGTATATATTGTATGTGTATGTATGTATATACATATGTGTGTAGATGTATGTATATACATATATATTTCAATGTTCTGTTGCAATTATGCTTAGTTTATAATTTTGATTATTGCCTGTGTTGAATCTAACAGTGTCTTACCTCAATTTGCCCTAACAGGAGGTACCGATACAGTCTTTGACTTTAGGACCTCCTTTTGTATACTAAACACATGTCACATTCTTGTATTTGTACCAATAAAAAATCTGAATCATGACAAAGCTTGAGAGCACGTTCTTCAGGACATTGTTTATAAGTTATGTTAGCGTGCGCAACACTTCATGTTTTGTATGAACACCACTAAGCATTTTCTGCAGGATCGAGTAAATTGATAAGTAAAATAAGTAAATTGATGATTTTTTTAAAACTTGCTCACTGAAATATTTCACGTACTGCGCTTTATGTGCTCGTTCTGCTTATTATTATTATTATTGTTATTATTATTATTATTATTATTATTATTATTATTATTGTTATTATTATTATTATTATTATTGTTATTATTATTATTATTATTATTATTATTATTATTATTATTATTATTATTATTATTATTATTACTATTATTATATAACTTGCAGTGGGGTGCACGTTAAAGAACCCCAGGTGGTCTAAATTTCCGGAGCCCTCCACTACGGCGTCTCTCATAATCATATAGTGGTTTTGGGACGTTAAACCCCACATATCAATCAATCAATAACTTGCAGTGTTCCTAAATATTAATTTTCTGAAAGTTTATCCCTTCTTCGGTCTACGCAAAGGTTTTTTTTCTTGGGGATTTGTATAAAATACTGTGATACAACAAGCCCTGCCCCCCCCCCCCCCCCAATGTGATACATGACCACACACCTTTGTGATTTCAAATAAAATGTTGTTTAAAACTTTTGAAGTTGTACTGCGACAATTTTTCACCTTCAGCAAGGTGTCTCAATGAATTTTTTAAAACGAATGCACTAATATATCATAAAAATGAACTGTGAAATTGTTTTTCACTGCACAAACATATTAGTCTTCAAAAAACCGCTCTCCACGGAATTCTGGGGAAATCTAGAGAATTTTTCGTCACTCCAGAGAAGAAAAAAGTGGCTCCGCAGGTTGGCAGCACTGGGTGGAGGTGTCCTTAAACCTGTACCGCCATTGAACACGCACCTCAAGAAAATGTTCTCGAAGGAGTGGCGCGTGCCTGAATTCTTCGTGAGCCTCTACAAATGTCCAGCTACAGTCTGCGGCCCAGTAGCAAGCAACGTAACTACCGCGAAATGGCGCAAATCGTGGACGCCGTGGTGAAGCACAGAGTCGCGCGTCTACGCGACCGCTGCAAACCTCCGATATCGGAAGACATTTACGACGAAATACTGCTGCTTATGGAGGAGAAACTCGAGAGCGGCAAGGTGGCCAGTCTGCTGACAGTCAGCGAAAAGGCGAGAAAATACTGGAGAACCCACGGCCGAGAGTTTGTGGGTAAGTGCAGCCCAGTGCTGGTCTTGCGTCGCTAAACCTAATACATCGATGACAGTCGCTTCGTCAGGTTGTCTGCTAGTCTCGCGTCAAAGTACGCTACTCGGGAGTGTTCAGCACTCTTTTAACGGCTCTCTTGGAGTCGATTGCATTTAGTTGGCGCCCAGCGTGTTAGTAAACATGCGTCACTTTAATTGGCCCGCTCGTAAAGTCCTTTTATAATGACGGCTTCGATGAGAGCCGCCGGCGTGTTCCCAATACTTTGATCGTAAACACTCGTTGAAGCGTCTGCTAAAGCGTGTTGCATATCAATTGAGGCATAGTTTTTGCAAATATGTATTTTTGGCTTGTTTACCCACTTTATTATCAGCAATTCTGTGCATTACTGCTGGTCCTGTTCACCTCCGCTATCTTACCCAATAAAGAAGCTTTCATAGTGGGGATTTCGCTTTCGTGGTCAAAATGCGATCGCGTACACACTGGACTTGAAAAAAAAAACCTGATTTTACCACGCGCTTCATGCATTCAGGCACGAAAAAATCGCATTGGACGAAGACGAGTTTTTCCTCGTGGGCCCAGAGACATAGAATACGTGCTAATTTTACTTGTTTTGACTTGCGATTTCGATTAAATGCGGGCCACCCTTTGACTGTAATACAGCGTTTCAAACGCATTGCCTTGGGAATTACCGCATATCGTCGCAATAATGCGAGGTAATTTTCCTATTGACGCTTTGCTTGATTCGTCACCAGGTATTCTGTTGCTCGTTGTATTGATGTTGCATTGATCGGTTTTTTAAACGATCGCTCATTAATCCACAACATCATGGCAGCAGTTATAGGTATGTACTCTAACGGCATTTGTAACTCACTAAAGGCTGTCGATGCGCTTATGGAGTTGTTATATCGCCATCGACACATATTTCTCTTACACCGCAATTTAGCTCCCCAAATATAAAAAAAATATGCTGGATCTCACGTGCTTTGCGATTCGACCTAATGCGAAGAAGTAAGAGAGATGCTGCATACATCGTTTGGTCATGAGACAAGTCAAGGCACTTGTGTCAGACATAACATGTCATTCACTATCATGCATGTTTGTAGCACGTGCATGCTTGTATTTTCTTCTGTATACCATCATAATGAAACTGTATTTTTGTGGATACCCTGTATGAGCCCTCAGTTATGTTTTTCCTACTCTTGCTCTTGCTATGCCAGTTTCTGTATACATTAAGGTAATGAAATGTCTGCAAAATCAAGAAGACAGTGGCATGTGAATCATGACATATGGGATGCATGAAGTGCTTTTCATGTTTAAACTTTCCATGTATGCTCGGCACTCACTCATGGCATCCCAGTTTTCTTACATCTCAAATTTATAAAGCTGTTTCCTAGATAACCAAGGCGTTATGTCATTATATATTGCAACGTGCATGCCATAACTTACGTTTCAATCTCATGTTTATTGCACATTTCATGTCATAGTGCTCTGATTTCGTTTCTATGTAAGGGCCACAAGTTCAGCAAGACTATATCATGTCAATCATGATGCACATGACATGCATGTCATTTTCATGTTATGGCTTGTTATTTATGTCGGCAGTAAGCTTGCGTCCTACCATGCCAGTTTTTGTAAATATGTGGAGTAAGTGAAACAGGCATGAGAGCACAAATTGAATGGCGGCTAAGTAGATGAATATGAAGCAGTGCTCATCACAGCACCAGTGCTGTTGAGCACTGGTTTTCTGTTTGCATGTTTTCTTGCGTCTTTCTGTTTCATGCTGCTTAAGTTTGCAGCTGTTGCACCTGCTTTCCCAAACCAAAGCACTCCTTGAGTAAATGGTAGGCGCCCTTGCGTATGTACAGTTATGATCCTTATTTCACAGAACTGTACTAACTGGAACAAACATAAAGTATCCTAAATATAACTAGAGTGGACTCTGGTGCTGCGATCGTTCAGCCACCATGCGAATGATGGGTAGTGCGTGGATTCGTCTAGTCTTGGTGCTTACGGGCTTTCAATGCAGTTGTGGCTTCGTTTATGGCAGTGTTTTGGTTTTGTTTTGGATCAAAAAACAAATGGTGTACAGAAGCTTTTTCTGCATATATGGCAATTGTCTGTTGCAGAAAGCCTTATCACGAGATCTGTGTCAGCACTGTGTCCTTGTTTGAATTGTTAACCGCTATTGCTCAGAAACAGCCAGTTGGTTAGTCCATGCTGTTCTCAGCTTTCTGGTACTCTGTTTCAACACGAATCCAAATGAAAACAGCAACCATACTTTTTTATGGGCTAGTTAATTCCAAGCATGTTCTACATAAAATTTAAGCAGTTTTGACGAGGCTACAAAAGTTGTTGTTAATTGTTTTCAAACAGCACCTAAGCAGGCTTAGATAAATCCTGATGTATGCGCTTGTGTATCCAAACAGCGCTTCTTGTGCTGTATTAAATTTAGTGTGATTGGCCTTTATTAGAATGAATGCACATTCCTCAAAAGGCTTGTGATCGAGCAAGTATAAAAGTCTGCTATACCTCATCTGCACCTGTGCTAAGTTTTGGTGTTGCACATGTGGGATTTTATTAATCTTTTCTGAAATAGCCTGACAAACATGGTATTTACAAGCATAACTAAGCATCGTTTGGCGCTCTTTGCAGACCTGATTGACCTCCAAGAACACCTTGGTCGTCCGTCCAAGGGCATTCTGCTCAAAAATGGCCGGGCGCTGTTGTCTGAGTCGTTGGCCGAGGAGCTGGTCGTGCAGTACGTGGCCCAGCGGGGTCCCCAGACAGTGCAGCGCGACATGCAGTCCCTGTTTGAGCTGCCCTTGCCCCTGATTCAGGCGCACGTGCAGCGGTCGACCAACGTGCGTCTCGCCAAGGACCGCCGCTACATGCGGCTCAAGTTCGAAGAACGCATGAGTGAGCTGCGACAGAACGTTTTGGCCGAGGCTACTGCGGCTACTGCCGTCTCGCCCGAGGCTAACGGCTTGCCTCTGAACGGCCAAGTTGGGACAGGTGAATACCTTTATTGCGGTGGAAAGGCCCCTGCCAGCTCGAAGGGACCCCGAAATAGTTTTGACGATATTGTATAAACACATTGAATCGGTAGACCAAGTTCAAAAGGTCATTTACAAACCAATTTGAGCACTCTGCATAAGGTGTGTTATTTATTACAATGCTTTAAACTGCGAATTGCTGCAGATCGCTGCGATTTGGCCTAATGCGTTTTCAGCCTGCCCTTTCACAGTGACATGCTCTTCCATGGACGTCACCATGACTGCTGATCTGATTGGCTGTGGAAATGTGTGGCACAGGCCCCGTGAAGGCAGAGCTTAGCCCCTAGCGCTCGAATGAAGAGTTGAGGTAGTTCATGGTGAAAGGGGAAGTGGAGAAGGAGGGTATCTATTTATTGCTTGCAGCTTCGTTAATAAGAGGTATTTTGATTGAATTATCGGTGCCAATAATTTGCTTGCAATAGTGAGCTAATAAAAAACTGGAAACTGCAAAAAGCGTTTCATGGACCCTTCAAGTCATATCCAACGATACAGAGTATTAAGACGTATGGTGCTTTCTTGTTTTTGTATATCGTGACATATATGGATAAGATCTTCAAACAGTGCATGCTCCAACCCAACTGGTTTCATGCCTATGTTTCTACCATAAAACTGTTAGTTTGGATAAGATCTTCAAGCAGTGCATGCTCCAACCCAACTGGTTTCATGCCTATGTTTCTACCATAAAACTGTTAGTTTAGTTGTTAAAGATCCAAAACACAAAGGCTAACAGCCAATGTGGCAGAACTAAAGCCCTACTGTAAGATAGTCTATAGTTCAAAATTGTGCGGCACTTGCACTTGGCCTTCCAAACTATTGGCTGTGCTTGCATTGACTGCATAGTCGGGATGACCATGTGAACAAGGGAGCAAGCGATTTTTGGCAGGCTTTGACGTGAAATAGTTGACTCTTTGCTGCATGTTTGGCAATGCACGCATGTCTGGTAGCCTTGAGTACAGCTCGATGATGTTCTATTTTCCACATTCAAAAATGTGTGACAGAGTCCCTTAAAAGCGATTTTTTTTTCGTGTCATTAGCAGGTGGCGTGGCTGTGACTGCGCCGGCCCCGGCCTGACCTGCCCGTGCTTCTGATCAAGCCAATGCCAAAGCGCAAGGCTAAGCCGAAGAGCCACGAGCAGAAGATGCGAGACGCTGTTGCAGCAGCCCGTCCTGTCGTTGCAGCGCAGGTGTCGCCCCCCATCATGTCCTGGGAGGTGAGCTTGCCAGTTGCTTGAAGACCTGAAGGTTGCGAGATGGAATCCCAGTTTTGATGGAATTGCGGGATGAATCCCAGTTTTGATGGTGCATTGTTATATGCCCACGTACACTCAAACCTCATTACAACGAGCACAAATATAGGGAAATATTGGTTACAATGAAGTAAATGAAAAATGGTCTTGCAATGGATACAATAAGAGGAACAACCTTTATAACGATTTTTTGAATATACTGAACTTATTTTCTTATGAGCTGTAACTTTGTTATATTGAGGTATGAATGTACTTAGATTTTTGTGCTAGTTGAAGAACACCAGGGCATCAAAATTATCGGAGTCCTCTGCTATCCTATGTCTTTGAAGATCATAGGATCACTTTAGGACATAATATGCTTGAAATTAGCAAGATTATTATTTTTATTGCTGTTATTCGAAAGCAAGGTCACAACTTTAATTACAGCGCTTTTATCTATGGTGGCCACACTTACTTGTGACATCACGAGCCTACTGATTGAGCAAAGTCTATTATGCCATTGCGAGTCTTTGTAGCCTCCATGCATCAGTTTAACAGAAGTCTGGTAAGTTGGCTTTATTACAGCTGGTCTAAAAATATTTATCAGTGGCTGAAGAGATGTTGCAGCAGTGCTTCTAGTCAATAAGACTTTAATTTCCGTAAACATTTCTGTTGTTTCTGATTTCCCTCGCTGGAGAACTCGGTGTTTTTTTGATTCAGTTGAGAATGTATTTTTTTCAAGTTTGGAATTCTAGAGAGCGGGCTCTGCTATATTCCCAAACAGGGGGCACGACAATCTTTTTTTTTTGTGATCAAAATGGCTTGCATGACAACTGAGAACTTATTGCGTTTGCTGTATTATCTCTACTGTTTGACATGCCTGTTAGTTGACATGCAGTCATAACAAAAAAATCTGTTTCACTGCAAGGGCTATGCAATGAATACGATGGCAATAAATAAGGATCTTGTTGAAGTAAGCTGGAAACTAAGTCTATCTCGCGTAACTGAACCAAATGCCGGTCTAAGGATATGCGGCCGCTTGAGCAAGAAAAGCAACCTTAGGGCTGCACATCACTTTGTTGTGAATCAAGCAGTGAAAATAGCAGGTACAAAGGTACGAACTGTTTGGCTAATTCTTGTGGTTGCTGTAGCACAAACTGAGGACTAGAACAAAGAGATACAGGAAGAAGAGTGTTTTTTTTTTTTTGGTCTTCTGCACACAGCAAGCTAGTCATGTGAGGCATACCGCGCACCTGCTTTCTGGTTGTCTTTAGACAGATCTTGCAAGCACAGTATTTCTGTGAGCTTCGTAGCTGAAGTGTCCCAACTTATGGCTTCAGGTATGCTGGAAGCCTTCGCCGGCGTCTGTCCGAGACTCCATTTTCCCGACAAATGAGGCTGAGCAGAAGGAAGGGCAAGGCTTGACAATTCAACTGAAGAAAATTTTAAAATAGGCATTGTTCAAATTGATAAGTTTTGGTAAATCAACGACCCCTCCCCAAGAGAGTCATCTGCTGCATGCAATGTGAACCTTGGACCAAGTATGTGTAATGCTCACAAGAAGTTGTATGTGAGGTTCCCCTACCCTTTGGTAGGGAAACCTCAAACACAACATGCTACATTGCACAGGCGATGAAGACGTCTAAATGACTGACTACGGCAACATGCTGACAATGTTAGAAATGGGAAAAAAGTTTGTTTATTGCGAGAATTTGTACTGTACGCCTCTTTTCGGGTACACTGTTACATTCAATAAACACAGGAGTGCTTGTACCCGAGTTATCATCGGGGCTGCACAAACTGCATGTGAATGCTATGTTCATGTGAGCAAGCGTTATTTGTCCTTCTCTGAGAAGGGTGGAAGTTTTCTGGAAAGCATTGGCACGCTCATCGAGTGAAAGTTCTTTCACTGTTTTTTTTTCTTTTTGGTTTCGGACTTTGGTATCTTCCACCTTGTTTGACCTAATTGCTCTGCTCAACTTATTTGTGTTCCCTATTTTTTGTCGTGTTTTTTTTTTGCCATTCGTATGTTTTCGTGTTCTGCACACAGGGCCAGAGTAGGGACTAGTTGGTTGTACATAATTTATTCTTGCAACACACTCGTGTTGCATGCGTTACTTTTTCTTTTTCTGAGCCTTCCTTTGTTTTCAAACAGTGCGCCATAAGAATCAACAGGTTCTGTACAGCAGCACTCGTCCTCGTTGTCCTTGGCGTCTTAGTCCGCAGTTCAAGCTATGCAATCATCATGACATAACGACCAGCCCAATCTACCAGCCTTCTGAGCTAATCCTGGTTCTGTAGGTGCCTTGTATATAGTGTACTTGAACGTGTCGGGTCACCTTTCATCCTACCAGCTGCATTCCTTGGGCAAATTGTGTGCTTATTGCTCTATCAAAGCTAGTGGATCTCGAAAGCCGTTTAAAAAGAAGTGTGGTTGGTATTTCCCTTTTCTAGAGACTCATTTTGTTTATTTTAATTACCCCTAAAGTTAATTTGTGCTTATGATACATAAAGATATGCTTCCATATTGTATTTGTTTGATATGTATAACTGTTAATTTGAATAAGAACTATCAGTTCTGCACCAATTTCATTTATTAAAAATGCATATTCTGAAAATCTCAGGAAGCAGAAGTGAGTGCTTTGGAAGAGAAAGAACCGCATCACTCCATGCTTGTCCCACTGAAAAATGCTACTTCTTTTCTCATTATCTGTTTTCAGATAGCAGAAGGTTGGGGTCCTTGAGAACCAGCGCTAGCAAATACTTTAGTAACTTGTTGGGTTAATCGGTGCGTGTTGCAAGAAAGTTAGATGACGCAAACCACCAGGGAAGAATTGGCGAAAGAAAGGAGCCTAATACATTTCTTTCGCATAATCTTTCCCGGCGGTTTGTGTTGTCTAATTTCTTCTAGCAAGTAAAGACTTGCCTCGAATCGTGGCTGAAAACAAATATATCCTTGTTCTGATGGCTGGGACCGATGATTTAATGAATGTAACGTTTAACTTGTGAAATGAAACCATATTTCCCGCGTATCAATCGTCAGAGATAGACCTCTTTTGTGAAACTATCCGGGCAATGCGGCCGAAGAGCACGAAGTAGCCGGGTTGCATTTAAAATTTCCCGCGCTTTCGGGAGCGAGGAATCCGCTGCAGAGCAGTAGTGAAAGTTCAATTTTTTTTTAGTTCTGTTTAAAATCACATGATTTATCGTCGTGCGTCGCTAGACCAACGTAGGCCAACGGATAATTAATCACAATTATTGGCGTGTCTTTTTTTTTTCGTATCGCTATCGCTTTGCTTAATACGAAATTATGAAAAAACAAAAGTGCCTAAAAGCCTCGCTATTGCTATTTTATTTCGTGTCGTTTTGTTCTTGCGTTGCTTTACCTTTTTTAAGAGGCCCTGGTGTACAGCGCATTTGCGAAACTGCGGCGCGTGTCGCGATAACAATCGACGCGCCAAAAAAACAGCTGAGCACACCGGACAGCCGCTCTTGTCTGATCGCATTGTTCTAGCTGCACTTTGCGTCGGCCGCTGAATCTGTTCGTCGCCTGTTACAGCTTCGGGTTATTGAGCATGACTACCGACAAGCCTGACACGGCGTCCGACGAGGTATTGTTTCGATGTACTCTGACCTTTGCCACGACCCGCATGCAAGCCGTGCGCGATATCGCCGGTTAACGCCGCGGTACGGTGGCACGCAGTTTTCCTATTAACCCGATGCGCAGCTGAAGATGCGGGTCTGGCTCCGCATGTGCTGGTGATCTCTTGGCAGTACGATAAGTATAGCGCGAGAACAAAACGACGACACAGAGACAAGAAGGACACGCTCGTGTCTTTCGTGTCCTTTCCTTCTTGTCTCTGTGTCGTCGTTTTGTTCTTGCGCTATAACTATCGTCATGCCATACCAACTAGCCCAAGCTGCCACACTCTTGGAAGTGTTCTGCACGCATGTTCACATGTGGTGTGGTGCAGGGCCGTACCCGGAAATATTTTTCGGTGGGGGGGGGGGGGGGGTGTTTGTGTGTAGATCGGCCTCACTTTGGTAATCGGTGGTCTATGTGAAGGCATGTAATTCTTTTAGTACCACCCTAAATGTAAATCACTGAAAAAAAACATTCGGGGGCATTAGAACCCCCTCAGCTCCCCCAAGTTATGGCGCTGAGGTGGTGCACTCTAGATCGCGATCATTCCCGGCCGTAATCTAGTTTCAGTCGATAGGATCGCGATTGGATTGCTTAACGTGGACAAGGTGTGGAGGATGGTCTATCGCGCTCTCGAAAGTAGACGCCGATTGGAAGTGTAACCGTGTTATGCTCTCTTAGGACGAGGTCGGTCGTGATAAGCACGCTGTCGCGTGCCGAACGTGGTCATCTCGGGATTGATATGGGGCGCTCAGCTATCTGTTTTGTTCAGAATGACATCGTGCTTTGAGATAACTTCAGCTGGCGTCCTGGTTCGGCGGTCCCTCCGCGTGGGTGGTTGACACATCTGCGCGAAAGCTTGCTGCTTCTCGAGATCTTGATATCCTGCCGCGGTGAATTGTCGGGAACTCCGTCAGCGCTAGCGTAGAAAGTCGAAGGAGGTGGCGGGTGCTTACCCGCCCGGGGCAAAAGTTTTGTTTCGCCGAGTTCAATTTCATGCTTATTTAGTTTAGCGCGGCATTGATAAGAAGTAGAAACTTTTGAACCTTCCAATATGCTCATGCCATGCCACTTCGGTGCAACTTTTACTCCTCAACATTTTTGCAGCCATGGGGTGAAACACCGAGCCTGTGTCCACCCGCCTCCCGTTTTTTTTCTTCTTTGCCCTGGCATACAGGGCACAAAATGACGGCACACCTGTGTGCCTGGCCCTCACCTCAGATCAAAAAGTGCCCTCCCCCAATCCCTCCCGAAAAAGTGTGCTGCTTCCAAGGGTACATTACCAAAGTAGTCCTTTAAAATTGTATCGTATTCATATGTTATGCACACCGCAGTTCTCAAGATATCAACAGTGGCACTGGTAAATCTTTCAGTGCTGTTCGCCCCGCCGCGGTGGTCTAGTGGCTAAGGTACTCGGCTGCTGACCCGCACGGCGCAGGTTTGAATCCCGGCTGCGGCGGCTGCATTTCTGATGGAGGCGGAAATGTTGTAGGCCCGTGTGCTCAGATTTGGGTGCACGTTAAAGAACTCCAGGTGGTCTAAATTTCCGGAGCCCTCCACTACGGCGTCTCTCATAATCATATAGTGGTTTTGGGACGTTAAACCCCACATATCAATCATTCAGTGCTGTTCATCGGTTAAGTGTATTTTGAAACAATATGAAGAAATAATAACATGCAGAGAAATATTTATATCACAACTGTTGCATTCGTCCCTGTAAATAACCTAGAAACGGCAGAGGTTTGATCTTCTGTGAGACTGTAAAATGATTGCACCAGTGGCCTGTCTCACCGTTAATGTTGTTATTGATGGCCCCAAACCTATATGCAAGAAATGAATGCCACAAGCCATTGTCTGCCTCTTTCGTTTTCGCCAGGAAACGTTGCTTTGGTTAAATCTATATTCTATTTGGGCGGGAATTGTGATTCACTGTCTGGATGTACGTCAAATTTGCATGGCATGGTTTCAAGGCTCTCATTGTTACATTTCAAGACAAAAATTTAAGGAAGGTGTCATCTTCTGAGAGTGAGTAAGTAACATTAATTAGCATGCATATAAATATTTATTTACTCTGCAAATAGTCACCTTGAATTCTTGCATCAAAAAATAAAATACTAGGTCCAAAATGCATGCATAGCTTGATTCTTGGTTGCACTAATTTGGAACAAAGAAAAAAGAGAAACCCTACATTGGTTGCGAAACAGCCCACGTTGAATGATCGTTGAACACTGTAGCGTCTTCAGCAATGTGATCATCTGCAGCAATACGAAGTGTCATGAAGTTAAGCATATGCTGTTTGTTCACTCAGGAAGCCTCTACAAATCTGCACACTGAGTTCAAGCCATTTGAAAAAACATGCTGTGCGTGACATTCTCTTAAATGGGATGTGTACACACTGCCGCCAAGGGCGTTATTGCACCTTACCGGTCAAGCTACAGAGTCCCTGCTACTGCCACGTTTCTGAGACCCTTACTGCATTTAATGTTGCTTAGGGCTTGTGGCTTACCACGTGCGAGACTGACCCAAAGATAGACCGTTGAGGACACTTCACATCTTTGCAGACCATGTCTTGCACATCAAACACTATGTCCACTTAGGAACTCGACTAGCCACTACTACATTTTGAATGCAATTGCGAGAATGTAACGAACATGCAGAAGCAGAAATTTTTTTGGGCAGCGTGCAGGTCACCCAGCACATTCGTCCAGCATTTCCCCCTGTTGTCCTCCCGCTGCAAGGAAGTTATGGGGGACGAGGTAGTAAAAAGAAATTGCAGGGGAATACACATAAAGAAAAAAATAGAGTATTCGGGGAGTAGTTCTTCTACACAACAATAATCCTCATCTGACTTGTTCGCTTTGCCTTTCTCGAGAAAACCTGGCGCTGGCCACTTTCTTGTCGGGAATCATATATGTCACACTCTTAACGTGCGTGCCGTTTGCCACCGCGATCTACTGGAACCGTGGTGATAGTGCGAGGAAAGTTACCAAAATAGATGACAATTATTGTTGTGTAGCAGGAACACTCCCCAGATACTCGATTTCTTATTTTAGAGTGTGTGAGCACAGAAGAGAGTAAGGCATAAGCTGGAAGATAACAGCCCAGTTTTGGTAGAAAAATGTGTAGGTTCCTGTGTGCGTGTTTTCCACATAGTATGATAGGACATTGTAGATGGTGGATGTGTGTTTATATATATGTATGCAGCTCTATGTGTATTCGTTTAATTTATAGTTTTTTCACTTTTGTTTAAACCAGGAGCACCCCCGAAATCTGATCCCTGAGCTGTGCCGCCAGTTCTACGATCTGGGATGGGTCACCGGCACTGGCGGTGGCATCAGCATCCGGCATGGGTCAGTAGTCACACTTTGTACAGTGTATGGGCACCTGTTATAACAATGAATATGGTGTGTGTTTCTCACTGAAAGGTGTGACATTTTGAGCTGTGGGAAAGTAATGTTCCATCATGTTGCATTTTTCAACCTCATTATGACAAACCTCACTTTCAGAAGGGGAATTTTAAAGGGTCATTTTTCATTGTTAAACAAAACATTAATTGTAACTAGTCAATAAGAAGGCCAGGCTTTCATGTCTTAGTCTGAAACATTGTTTAGTAGTGTTGGGAAAATGAAAGTTTCTTAGATTTTTTTTACATTTTTAAACATTCATTTCTTTCAAACACGGTGCATTATTTTGGCATTCAGTGTAACTAAGCAGGGTGTTAGGATTCCGGGTTGACGGCATCCCACCGCTGCCGTCCACTTGTTGTGACTCCAGGTCCAGCAGGTCTCATTGGGCTCCCATTGTAGGATCCATCGTTTAACAAGTCAGAAGAGGCGCTCGTTCAACGACAAAGATTTATTTATGTGGTTAGAAGCTGGGAAGTCGACATATGGTACCAAGTGATTAAGTAATGAAATGCTGGTTAAACTAAAAACCATGTCTTCTGCTTATATAGATCCGCGCTGCCAACCCTGCTGCATGGTCTGCATCTTCAGCCAATACGGCACTCGATGGTCTTGGCCCTCCACCCACGAAGGCGGGAAAAGACTGTGTCGTCTCCACAATGCATGTGGAGAGGACACAGTCTAAACGATTTTCAAATGGGGTCATGAACGCACAACACCTAAGTTTCGCACATATCCGAGGACCTTAGCTGATCAAGGTCTCCGAGAACTCTCTTTGCAAGGGGTTTAAGCTGGAAAGGAAAGGTGTGGAAGAGGTCATCAAGGTGGACATCTGGACATATTGGTAATCCATGTTTAAGAACGATAAAAGTGCACTGAGAAGGAAAACACAAAACAAACAGTTTGGTTTTCTTGGTGTCCGTTATGGTGCCTAGTAATGATCTCGTTCTACTGCACAGCAGGTGTGCTCATATTTTTGGCCCTATAAGGAGCCTTGCAAACGAAAAATAAAGTGAGTCTTTGTGTCTTAACTTTCAACGCGCTTTTACCGTTTCGAACATATAAAAAAAAAGTGTTCATCAACTTCGCGAAAACCGGCTCCCTTGGACATGTGCCAAGCTTGCCTGTCTGCATTCGGGTAGATCAATATAGCGGCCGACAGGTTTATCGTCAAACATTCTACTCCATGCAGCTGATGTTATGGAGAAAGGGTGATTGAGGGGTGGTCGACTAATCTCTTGCATTTGCTAGGAGCAACTCCTAAACACCTGCAAATTCACTGTGACTTCGCTCTCCTCAAAAGATCCAGTGGCAGCCGGATTAGTCTTACCTGCCACCCCAAACAGCAAATACCACGGTGGCTTCGACAATAGCGCCGTCGCCTTGTCGCTTGCCCGGAACGCCTTTGTGCATTGTTTGGAGCCAAGGTCACTGTGGCTTTTCCAGTCTTGCAGGTTTTCTTCGTGCTATGCCGGTTCGTTGACGCCCTTGTTCATGCTTGACAGAGGTAACGAGACTGTCTCAACTAAACACCTTTGCTCTTTGTCGGGTTCTCAGCCTCCGGAAGAATCCCAATGTTGATGACAGTCATAATAACGGTTATCTTACATTGATACAATAAAGTTGCACTATTGCTGCAAATCGTTTAATTACATAGCGTTCTTATCAAGGTGTTTATGAAATCACAGTGCGTCCTACAGCTGGCAGCTAGCCAAGAAATGCACCTGAATGCGTTCATCGCCTACGCTGCGGCAGAGCGAAAAAGCAAGCGGGAAGCATGGTGTGCTTCATAGCGCAATACCCTGCACAATGCAATTCTTATTAGGGTAGTCAATTAGGCTATTTGCTATGCTGTGCAATGGAATTCATATTTGGGTATTCAGTTGAGCTATTTGCTATGCTGCTGAAGTTGAATAAAGAACATTGTAAGCAAGAAGAGACAAACATGACACTATCTAATTCGAGTTAGCCTCACTGGTAGAGTTGTTTGGTTATTCGAGCATTGTTTTTTTTTCCTTTTGTTGGATGTGGTTGGCAACAAGCACGGCAAGCTGTCGCATTGGCAATGTTAGTTGCAGCGAGTCTTTACTCATTATCGCTAGGGATATCATCCATGCAGGAGAGAGATGTTGCCAACAAGGCAACATCCGTGTCACAGTTTCTAACTGACATTTATTGCCGAGGAAAAGTACACCACTGCTTGTTTTTGATTGTCGAACCTTGCTCTCCCGTGATATACAGTACCAGAAAAAAAAATGACACCACAAACGCCTTTGAGTGTTTGTGGTGTTGCAATTTCCTTTCTGTGTCTGCGTTTGCATTCACTCTCTATTTAGAATGAATACTCCATCCAGAAAAAGTTGTTCTGAACTGTCTTGGAGGTTGGAGTGAATTCCCCAGTAAAAGCAGGTGAACGAACGTCCATGTTTATACTGGAAAAAATTTCATCAGTGATTCACTGCAGCAACAAGCGGTTGACACATTATGTGAAGCTACTTGCAGTTTCCCACTCCACCAGTACCAACATTACCAAGTTGTTGGTGTATCACACAGCTGCATTGTGATAAAACTGAATTGTAAGGCTTTGTTAGAATAATGCATAGTATAACAGCATACTGGAATGTCAATACCGTATGCACATTAACACAATACCATATGCACAATAATTTTAACATTACATACTAAGTCTCGCCTGATTCTGGGAACAGCTCTGGTACCGACACATTGCGTGTGTGCACACATGTGACATCACAGACTTCGAAACGTGGCACTGCGAAAAAACATGCTGTAATTCAGGTTCTCACCTCACTTGTCGCGCACTATTGAACCAAGCCTCGTTTCTTTTCGTCGAGTGTTATTGCTGTCAATGTGCACTGATTGGAAAGAGCACAGAGTGAATAGCTGTACTGTTGACAACTATACCGTACACACATCTAAAGAAACTTCCTGCGTCACAAAGTAACTTGAGAATTGCTCCTACTTTCAAATTGATATCAAGCTTTGACGGTGAAAAACTAGAGCTGTGCAGATAGCAAAATTTTGGAGGCGAGTTGAATTCGAATATTGAAGCGTAATTGTAAATCGCATAGAATATTTTTTGTATATAATAAAGACGTCTTTCTTGGGGTACTTCGACACAAAAATTTTGTCTTTCTGTCTGTTTGTACATTTGTCTGTTTGTCCACCATAACGATACCCCTAACGGTTCCAAACGATGCCGCAAACGGCCAACCCCATGTGCAGCACCCACCAATATTGCTCAAGTTGCAGCGTTTATACTTGTGTGATTGCCAATTAAAAAGCAATTATTGCGCATATCTGCGGCACCATAAAAACACGTCAATATTTTGTATGTGTGTCTTTATCCCAGAGAAGGCATGCATAAGTAATTCTAAGGACCCTAGCGTTTATCACGTTACGCTGACAATACAACGCGATGCTCAAACAGGCGAGTGTCTCCAATGCTTTGCTCAGACGACACAGTGGTGGCACCTTCCTGTCGCTTTTGATTCTGCACCTTATCGCCTGCGAGACTGGCGTGCATGCCTTCCTTCGTTTTTGACGATAACTGCCTGGTAGCACTTGGGTCTAACGTGCCTCAATGCGCTTGTTCGCCTTCGTTGCACGAATCGAGACTCTGTACCGCAGCCCCTCTAGAATACCATTCACTGTTTTTCTTGTGCAGAACATCAAATAAATGTTTCTGTCGTCTTTTGACGACATTTGCAATGAAACATGCAGATACGGGGCCAATTTTTTCACAAACATTTTTGGACTACCTTGGAGTGAAACTGCAAATGCAAAAACAAAAAAAAACATTGAAGAGGATTCCTAAGCATATTTTTCATGTGATATCAACATGAATGTTTCTCTTGGGTACGTCGGTGAAGCGCCGGTGGGGTAGTTGTCTTGCCAAGAACGAGGCAGTGCAGATGCCAAATAGCATATATGTATGTATATGATGTCGTGCGACCAAAGTGATGCCGACGTGCTCGTGAAAAGTGAAAATGCCATTTCTTCAGCCTCTCCGCCTCGTTTGTGGAAGCCCAAATGATGTGGCAGACAAGATTTTGCTTCCTTCGGGTCCAGAGTTTCAAATCTGCCTTGTAAACGTCAACATGTAACAAAACATCTGAAATTTTAGATGCTAAAAATCTTTGGCATCCGATCAAACTTTCTGACGAAATTCCAGGTCAAAAGCAGCATTATTCTAGCTTTATGTTCCCGTCTTGTTAGAATATGCTTAGGTATCCTCTGCACTTTTTTTCTGCAGTTTTGATTGGAAAAATTTTAAAAACATTTTACAGAAATTTTTTACTTTATACGCGCTAAAACTAAATAATATTTAAACTCTCGTTCCGCTCAAAATTTTCTTATTCACACCTTTGATTAGAAAACATTTCTGTAATGAAAGACGAGTGATAAACGACGAGAACAGTAATAAACGACGAGAACACAATAAAATTTTATTGGCAGGGCATTAGTAAAAATTCAGCAGGCAAACCTATTTCACATGCAGCATAGGAGTGGCTGCCCCAATAGCTTGCTATTTAGATTGCAGCTGGCAACCACATTCATAAATTTGTCTTTTTTGTCCACTTTGTTTTTCGTATATGGACTTCCTGCCACTCTTGCTTCCCTGCCTGTTGCCATTGTATATTGTTTTTTGTCTGAGACAAAAAAAAGCATTTTTGAAGTTTATTGCTTTATTAATTTATTTGTTTATAGGGACTTCATTGTGGTAGCGGCTGTTGGCCGGGTGGATATAGCAGTTTAGCACATATAGATTCATGGGAGTTGCAAGCATTTTTCGAGCATTTTTAAGAATTCAATAAGCACTCATAATGAACAAATAAAATTACACAAATGTAAATTCATAAAGTGTACAAATATTTTCAGACATTGTTAAAGACTTAATGAACGATTTCAGTAGTAACATCAATCCAGTCTGATATTGTCGTAGTAAAAAAAATATTTAAAACAGTTATTCCTTATGTTAAAGGGAGCTATAGTTGAAGCAAGGCTTTGTCTTGTTTGATAACCTTATGAGTGAGTAAGCAAATGCCATAATGGCCATTTACGAGCTGAAAGACAAATTGTGATCGGCAGACATGGTTCCGCTTGGTCACACATTGAAGTTTGACTTGTGGGCCCCTCTCATTTCACTCTGCGATGCAGGCACGAGATCTACATCGCGCCGTCAGGGGTTCAGAAGGAGCGGATAGCTGCGGAGGACCTCTTTGTGCAAGACATGGAGGAGCGCTTCCTGTCGGGGCCTCCGCCGCACAAGAAGCTGCGCAAGAGCGAATGCACGCCCCTCTTCATGAACGCCTTCACACTGCGTGGTGAGGACGGTCACGCATAGAACACATACTGTGCATTACGAGTACTGGTTGTCCACTTGTGCTTACCTGCCAAGTCTCCCGCATTTTCCGGGAAACTCCTGGATTGTGTCTATTTCTCACATTATACGGTTGTCATGAAGGAAATCGAAATTTCTACTCTTGATCTGGCCGCATTGACAAAAAATGCAGGTTGGTCCGATTCAGGCTTTTCATGCAGAGATGGCTTTTTATTGTAATTGAATTTAGGAGGCTCAACCGCTGCAAGCGGGTTAGGGGGGGGGGGTAGACAGAAAATTAGGTGGGCAGATGAGATTACGACGTTTCCAGGTATAAATTGACAGCAGTAAGCACAGGACTGGGTTATCTGGCGGAACATGGGAGAGGCCTTTGTTTTGCAGTGGACGTAGTCAGGCAGATGATGATGACTATGACAATGCTAGAGTTTCAAATTCTACTGTGCGTTTACAGTGTAATTCAGAATTCTTTTGTAAACCCACAGTAGAATGTCAGTAATGCGAAACTGCCAGATACGAATTCCACTGTGTCCATTGGGCCAAAATTTTGATGTACCGAACACTTTTCCTCATCGCAACAGGTGATATGAACTTTAGTAACGAAACCTTCCAATGAATGCTAGGATTAGCGTGCTCAAAGCTTCGGAAGTACGCGCGTGGCCAGTGTCCGCACTGTATTGTGCACTGCATGTGGTTATTGTTTGCCACAACCACTGTGGAGGCAACCGTGGTTGCTTTTGACAGGACTGTGTAATGCGACGTTGTAACTGACAGAACTCCGAAAGCGTATGCTCGCGTTCAACGCTCGACCAGTCAAAGCGACCCTGCTTTGTGCAAACGCTGCAGGCAAAACTGCGGCAGAAGCGATCATACATAGCTAGACACTATACAGTTGAGCCCGCTTGTAACGAACATGAGAGTGACACGGCATCTGTTCGCTGTATCCCAAAGTTCGTAGTAAATGAAACACAGCTTTTAAAAAAAGTTGCGAGTGAAAACACAACTTTTTTCCCCAAAAAAAAGTCCGTAATGCACGTGTTTCGAAGAGCAGAAGCGATAAGGGCGGTCACAAGTTCATTTAAAACGGCAGTGTGCTCATTCGCCATGGCCCGTGGCATAAGCTGCATGAGGCACGGGCTCCGAAGTTTCGTCGTTATCGCAATCGAATTCCTTCCAATCGCTTCTCCCCACCTACTTCATCCACAATGCCCCAATTCGTGCACGGTTCCGCAGTGTCTGCATCATCATCGGCCGTAATTAAACCACCGCTACAAATGTCCCACCCGCTCTCCCAGGTCATAGTCGACGGCACGCGGCCACAAATCGCCGCCGCAGTGGTTCTGTTCGGAAGCTTCAGGCTCAGCATCGGGCCCAACCTCGACGAAGTCGGTCTCGCAAAAACAGTTTCGCGCACATGTAGCCGTCACTGCTGTCCCACGAAATATTCACCATATCCACAGCTGAAAACCGGGACGCCCGAAGCGGAAAGTTAGCTGCCAGGTGGTCAACAGATATGAGCAAGCGCTCCGCAACATGGCACCTAATGCGCGGATTATGCTCAAGCCAAGCGGTCACACTTTCGACGTTTTCTTGAGTGGTAGGAAAAAGCGTGCTAGTCCTCCTGTCTGCCATCATGACTACACACGCTACACCAAGAGTGAGCTAGACGCGCACACGCGACACACATGCCAGAACACGTGCAACAGCTCTGGGCCCATTTCTGTCAGAAAACGACACTAATTCGAGCCAGCGTGGCTGGCCGTGAAGCGGTGGAAACGGGCGAAGGAGTTGTGATCAAGAGAGGAGAGCAGATTTGCGAGAGAAGGGCAAGGAGTTGCGATGAAGAGAGGGGAGGATGCGGTGGGAGGGTGACCTTGAAAACCAAAACACATGAGGAAGAGGCAGATTGGGTAGCTTGCTTGAAAGGTCGGCGAAACTCGCACGTAGAAAGACTTTAGAGTGCGCCTGCGCGCGCAGAAGTCAAACCACGGTTGCCTGGATCGGTGCGCGCAGGGGTGTTCGAAGAATCGGCGACCATGGTCAAAAAATCGTTTTGTTGCACCGGAAGGTTCGCGTAGCCTCACGAACTTCGATATTTCGCGATTCGTTCTGCGCAAATTAACAGCCATTTTCGCACATCTGCACGCGCGCGGAAGGCATGCTGAGCCGATTGCGAAGTGAGTGAGATTACCTAAGTCCTAACCACGATAAGAATCGCAAATTATCTGAGTCAATGGGGTAGCGTACGCGCGTGCACTAGACGCAGACTATCGGATACAGTCGCTGGCCGACCATGTTGGCAAATGGTCTGGTCACTCCAGGCCAGCGACACCAACAACAGAACCAGCGATCAAAAATAGGGTAGATGGCCGACCGCTCTTCGGAAGATCGGTGACAGTGCGAAAACATGGTCTTCGTCTGGCGATGCCGGGTGCTCTGAGTAGCGGGGGGGACAAAGGACGGAGGGGTGCGTAACAAAAAGCAGTTGGGGCATGGAGGAAGGAAACAGCTTTCCTTCCTCCAAGGGTCGGAAAGAGCGCCAACTAGAGGGTCATGGAGGCAGGGTCGACGTTTAACAATAAGAGTGTATGGGCACCTCGCTGATGCCTTATCGATGGTCGAGAGTGGTTTCCCGGGAAGTCGGCAGACCGCTGACTCCGTTCGCTGTAACCGATCAGCCGCGCTAGGAGATGTTCGTTGTAAGTGTAAGTGCGATTTTGTGCCATTGAACCAATGTATATTTTCACGGTCACGCGGATATTGTTCGTTTTAAGTGAAAGATTCGTTTTAAGTGGGGCCGTTATAAGTGGGCTCGTCTGTACTCAGTTTTGAGAGCATGCGTGCAGCCAGCGCACGGGGATTGAGAACAAGCTTTTTGCTGCCACAGCAGTGCAGTGCACAGAAACGCGGTCACGGCGACACGATAGCGATCTATAAGCTTCGAGGGTGCACGGCTAATGCAGCGGTAAATTAAAAACAATAAAAACACAAAAAGTCAGTTTCACTGCGAGCTTGTAGCAATGAATGCAATAGCAACAACTTGGAATGTGACGCTGAGAACCATAAGCAGATCGAAACGTGCAGCATGCTGCTCACAAACAAATGATGCACAAAAACAATATACACAGGACGAGAGCGAAGTAACAACGCTTACCGCTCGGCACTTAAAGCACCGTTTAAACAAAAAGGATGCACGAAACGTAATCACAAGTACAGATGAGTGCAAACAAACAAGTGTCCCAGTAATTATACTTCGCTGTGTATGAAAAGCGCGCATTTTCACAAATGGGGCCTGTGCAGTGAGCGAAGTGACCTTTGTGCGCCCGGTAACTAACACAATCATTCGGGCCGAAGTCCAAGGCACACCATTCTCCCCACCGAAGGATAAGCGCGCGCGCCCAAGCATTTAGCCGCTTCTTCCCCCCCCCCCCCCCTGCTATTCGCGTAGCAAAATACAAGTGGGCAATGAGCACGTGTCGGCGCGTCGTTACGAGCTGGCTGATGAGAGCGGGTGGCTTTTTTCTTTCTTGAGTTTTCTAATAGATATGTATATATATATACATACATATATATATATATATATATATTTATATATATATATTTATATATATATATACATACATATACATATAATGTGAATGACGGCGGCGGTAAAAAACCAGCCGAGACTGTTCATATAATTGATATCGCATTAAAGAAAGGCTGGAAGCATCTTGGCATTCCTGTCCAAAGAATCTAGTAACGTAGCGAAGATTTAACTCATGCTTTTGGGGCAGCCAGCTGTGCTATATCGTCTGTTGATGTGTGCTCCAGGAAGACATTCAGAAGTTTTTTTGACAGAAATAAATATTGTTAGTTGTTTTGATGATGCGAAATTTCAAAAGTATTTGCGTTCCCTTTCACGAGCAAGAGCCCATTGGGGGAAAAAGACTATTAATACTTATGTATGCGATGATAGATGCTCTGTGAGCGTGCACACCATACAGTGAGTCTTGAGCGACTATGAGGCTAGAGAAGCCTGACGTTGACTAGGATGGCTTAGCGTGTAGCGCGGTTGGAATGTAAGCCTATTGGGTCTGAGTATCAATTTGAACGTAATGCTATTGGTTTTTATATTTGTATATAGAGGATGTGCCGTGCGATTGTTTATTAAATGTGGTGTGTTTTTATCCGAGTCATGTCTCAGTTCATCGCCCGCTGCAGCAGTCCGTAATCCATGACATCCTCTTTTAAGACTCGCAGCTTAGTTAGGAAACCCTACCCTCGTGTGTTCGGCCACTCCGAGCCATTATTAGGCAGCAGTGCCGATGTTTACGCTTGCGGGGTTGTCCCCCTTTCTGTTTTTCGTGATGTTTATTGTTTTTTTTTATTGTTGCCATAAAGGGGGTGGCAAGTCAGCGCAACCTCCCTCCCCTGGTTGCGGGAATCTCCCTGACTCAGAATTCTTGAACTTCACAGGTTGGCTTGTGCAACATACTTGCTGTCAGCCCCCACTCCCTTCCTTTGACACTTGTTGCGCACCTTTTTAACCTACACTGAAACCTCCATATAATGAACTCGGATATAACGAAATATCTGTTATAAGGAAGTAAATCAAAAATAGTCTTGCAATCGACACAGCGTGAGACATATACCTTCATGACAAATTTTCGATTATAACGAAGTTAACTTTGTGTATGATGCAACTTCGTTATAACGAGGTTTGACTGTATTAGGGTGAATGAGAGGGACCACTGCGAGCACAAATTAACACTACTTATGCGGTGATTGGATTCTTGTGATGATAGTAAACACTGAAAACGCAAAAGTGAAGACCCTCAGTCGGCTTTCTGGTTTGGCGTGTAGTGACCAGCCCCTTTCCCCTAAAATGGGTGGCTGGATCTGCCCCTGAACATGCCCTGCTGGTATTTGATGCACCCAGCTATCACTGTTGTGTGATAAAAAAAAAGTAGAATGCCAGAAATACACCACATCTGATTCCATATGACAGCCATATGTCGTATAACTGATACAAGTGATATGTTGCCAAATAAGACATGTTACTGGAACCAACACTTTGGCATTGGGAGTTGAAACAACTTGTCTTCCAAGCATCACATTCTGTGTTATCTACTCCATTCTTCGCCATTCTCAGTGGGGAACAGTAGAATCGGGCTGTGTCCCTAAAATGGAGCAACAGAATTCATAGTCCTTCAGAAAAGGCTGTGTGTCAAAAACAGGGTTGTGAGAATAAACAAAGGAACAAAGGAAGGTGGTGTACCAAGAAACAAAGTTTCTTGGTACACCACCTGATTTTGGTGGTCCAACTTGTGCATGAAGACTCGTACTGTCCTTAGTGTGATAGAATTGATGCCAAGTAATGGTAAGACTGTCATGATGACAACTGTTTTTACAGGTGCGGGGGCAGTGATTCACACTCACTCCAAAGCAGCTGTGCTGGCAACCCTCCTTTACCCGGGCACCGAGTTTCGGATCACCCATCAGGAAATGATCAAGGTTTGCACCTCAACTGTCCACGATTGTGCAATTAATACTTTCCTGTCTATGTCTGATTTGGTAGATAGCCTTATTCTGCATGTAGGAGACATCACTATGAACATGTAAGATGAATCTTGCAGTTGTGTGCACAGCAAAGAGAGCTTAGAAGTGGAGCACAAAGTTGAGATTTTTTTTTTCAGGCGCCTTTATTTGATACAGGCTCACTTTTCCGAGGTGCCGGTCACTGCTGGTTGGCATCGGGTTATGAATGGCGGGCTATTTGCCAATAGCCAGCATAAATGAAGAGCAGCGTTCAGCTCAAATGCGCTGGTTGCCACGTAGGTGCCTCCACGTGCCAGCGCTGCGCTCTGTTGTGTGCTAACATTGCACAGTGGGCCACACTCCGACACAGGAATCACGATGGGAGAGTGTGGTCGTGATGTGAGCTGATGTAACTTGTTTCCCCAGTGCCATTCTTGCCTGTGTAGATTCCAGCATGCTTATTGTGATGAGGGTAGAGGGAAAGTGCGCAACAAGCCTCTGTAATCATAGAGTTTTCTATATATACACTAGAAGGAACTCTGGCACTAGTGTCTGTGGGAGCTTCAACGCAAAGCACTTCAGTCACCATGAGAATGATTATATACCGTATTTACTCGCATAATCCTCGCACTTGCGTAAGTGTCGCGCCACAAAAATCGCTGCAGCAGATATCGCCTGCTACTTTCAGCCAGTGATGATGATAGCAACCATTAGCCTAGCGCCATCTCTTATGCATTATGCATGCTGGTAAATTCCACAAAGACTCTCCTGATACGCTGGGACCGGCTTAACAGAGAGGCCGAAAACACACCGGCCAGGAAAACGCCCCACACACCCTGTTCTTCTTCAACCCCGAGCAACGGCAACCTGTCACCCGGTTCCAATGAATTCGTAGCAAACTAAAGTGACCCAACATGTAAACATCTAAGTTTAGACCAAGTGAATGGAGCAAGTCACGTTCTTCCTTCCTCCATAGAGCAGGTGGGGAACACGGCCTGCCTTGGCTCGGCTCGACTTTCACCGAACTATTAGGTGCTTGCTTGTGTGTGTGCGTGTTTGAGTGTGTGTACGCGCGTTGAGGAAACTCTAGTGCCTGGCTAGTGGGCGAACAGACCAATCAATTATTTATTTGTTGTTTATTTTTATTCATGTGGCGCATGAAACGCCTACCCAGTGTCAAAAGGAAAGAGGAACAATTACTAACTTACTAACTTGCTAGAACGGAGTTCTAACCCAATACAAACCAAGCCACAAGTTGCGTAACAGCACTTGTGGCACCGCCTGCGTTCTTAGTGTTAGTAGTACGGTGTTCTGTGATAGTGCTGTAGTGATTCGTGTGTAGCATTATCTTTTTTGTGGCTACGTGATAAGCCGATACAGGAGCTATACAGCCGCTTTCAAGCTAAAGGTTATCGACGATGCTCTGGAACATGGCAACAGGGCCGCCAGCAGGCACTTCAGCGTGGATGAGTTCTGTGTGCGCTACTAGCGACGGCAGCACAAACAGCTCAAAGCCACAAACAATTCACGTAAGGCCTTCAGTGGGCCTAAGACTGGAAGATACCCACAGGTTGAGATGGCACTACTAGACTACATCAAGTGTCTATGCGCGGACAGGCGTGCCGATTCAATCGAGCTGCTAAAAAATAAGGTGCGCATAATTGCCCAGAAGGAAGGCATCTCGGCGCAAGATTTCCGCGCGAGCAACGGGTGGGCCACACGGTTCATGCGCCGAAGTGCACTCTCGCTCAGGAGACAAACGGCTCTTTGTCAATGGCTACCTTCGGCGTACGAAGATAAAATCATCGATTTTCATCAATATGTCATTAGGATTCGGGAGCAAAAGAACTTCCTGCTCTCTCAAATTGGAAACATGGATTAAGCTACACTCAACTTTGACATGCCACCGAGCACAACTGTGGAGCCGAAGGGTGTGGCGGAGTGTGCATATTAAAACGACAACTGCCGAGAAGCAGAGGTGCGCCGTCCTGCTTGCCGTAACAGCAGACGGGGGAAGCTGCCCCCATTTATTATTTTTAAGCAGAAGACCCTCCCGTAGGCCAAGTTTCCTCCTGGAATACACATGAGAAAGGGTAGATGACCGCTGACCTTATGGTCGACTGGGTAAAAACTGTTTGGGGACGCTGCCCTAGAGCACTTCTTTACCCGTCGCTGCTAGTCATTCACAGCTTTCACGGTCACCTGGTCGGCTCCGTTCGGGCGAAGCTGAAGGAGCTGCGAACTGACCTTGCTGTCATTCCAGGCAGTCTGACTTCGATGCTGCAGCCTCGAGATATATTTTTGAACAAGCCTTTCAGGGATAATGTTCGGAGGCTGTATTCAGAATGGATGGCCGAAGGCGACCATGCCATGACTTCCGGGGGCAAGATAAAGAAGCCGTCGGTAGAGCTCCTTTGTTCTTGTGTAATTGAGGCATGGGCCATGATTTTGCCAGAAATTATCGACCGCAGCTTCAAGAAGACTGGGATCTCCAACGTCTTGGACGGCACACAAGACGACATGGTCCAGGAAAACGACGAGGAAAACCATGCTGAAGCTGGCGATGAGTCCGATGACGCAGCTATGAGCAACGTAGACGGCACTCTTGACTCGGGCTCCGAGTAGTTCGCCCAAGAGACTTGTTAGCTAGTGACTTTAGTCTGTGCAAGTAAACCTTGATTTGGGTTGAACATGTAGTTTCATTGTAAAGGTAAGCCTTGTATCAGCACTTTTCGAAGCTTTTAGTTGGTGGCGATAAAACTGTGATTTGTGACTGTATTTTTTTCTTGCGCTGTACAATTGTGCGTAAAATTTTCTCTGCGTAATTATCGCACCCCCAACTTTCGATCAGTTTTTCGGGGAAAAAAAGAGTGAGAGGATTATGCGAGTAAATACGGTAGTACACGGATTTGTCTAGTAGTCTTTATTTTTCAGTGCCGTTTGGATCCGTGTGATCAGAATCTGACCTGCCGCAATACAAAGTTCATCAACGCTTTAGTAATTAGTTTTCACCACCTTGATTGTATTAGGTTCATTGATTGAAATCTGCTCACGAAGTTTACAAGGGTCTCTTTATTTTTATAGAACAGTACCAAAACACAACAATAAATCTACAAGTGCGTTCGAAACCCACAAGCATGAAGACTAGAGAAATCCATGCAACACCGATCATTCCCATGGTTGTGGAACGATCACAGCACCCGAGTCCACCCTAGTTCATTTTAGTACACTCTAGGTCTGTAACCCCATCCGTTCTTGCTGTGTTGAAGAAACTTTTGTGGGAAACGATTTGTGATCCAATAAGTTCCACTACTGAGGTAATTTGATGACTACGTGAAAAGTGAACTGGGAGCACGGAAACGGTGTATCGTGGCCCCATACAGTAAAACTTTGTTATAAGAGACGCTCAGGGGAGCCAGGGAACATTTCTCTTGTAACCGAAAATATTAATAACGGCAAAGAATAGGACATGGTCGCCTCAATAAAACATGGAAATTATTCCCAAGTCATTACTATAGGTGTACGAAGTGACCAGTGTATGATGCTGTGCACAAATTCAATTCAGGGGTACGCAGTTGTGATTGGGACGACGACAGTGAATATAAAAGCTTACTGGCAGAAAGTTCAGTAGCACTTGTAGTTAAAACCATGTGATGAACCATGTCCATGGTTGCGGAAAGATTGTAGCACCAGAGTCCTTTTTCGTTAATTTTAAGACACACTAGGCCTGCAATGCCATTTGTTTTTGATCTGTTGAAGAAACTTTTGTGGGAAGCAATTTGTAAGTCAATTAATTACTCAGGTCATTTGATGGCTACTTTTAAAAGTGAACTGGGAGCACTTTAACTGAGTCACTTTACACTTATCGTGAGCACGGAAACAGTGCACCGTGGCCCCGTAGAGTAAGACCTTGTTACAAGAGACGCTCAGGGGACCCAGGAAACATTTCTCTTGTAACTGAAAATTTTAACAACAGTGAAGAATAAGACACGGTAACGTCATCAAAACATGGAGATTACTCCCAAGTCATTTCTATTGACGTATGAAATGAAAGTGTATGCTGTACAGAAATTCAATTCAGTGGTGCTAAATTGATTGGGACGTCAGTGAATGTAAAAGCTTTCTGACAGAAAGTTGAGTGGCACTTGTTGTTAAAACCACGTGATGAATCATGTCCACCTGCGCAGCAGAATAGAATTGAGCCTAAAGGACAGAAATTGCAGTTTGTACGCCATGGTACAGTGATGTCTGCTGTACGACGTGAATGTGTTGGGTTGTGTCCGTTGTAATTGGTGAAGAATTTACTTCAGGGAGCTGATAACATTACTCTTAGTAACAGAATGCTTCTTCTAACCTAGTATAGAATGCTTTTCACTGTGTGAAGGAAAAAAAAAGCAAGCAAGACTTTTTCGTGTGTCTTATGTATAACCAAGTTCATATTATCGCATCGGCTCTTTCATTACAGTGGCAGTGAAGCCTTTTATGAAGAAAAGTTGTTGAGAAACACGCTTCCTTATACATAGCAACCTTTTTATAACGAAGTTGTATTGTATACAAAAAAATAAGTTCTTTATGTCTGTAAATTCATTTTAAAGGTATATTCCTAACACTAAATCTATTGCAAGACTACTTTTCATTTACTTAGTTATAGCTAATATTTCGGTATATCTAGATTCGGTAATACCGGGTTTGATGTAGGGATGTTCAAAAACGGGTAATGTTCCATGAATATGAAATAGTGCTGGGGCACTTTGCTGTTTTTTGGTAATGTTGTGCCGCAGTCTATACAGTAAAACCTCGTTAATTTGAAGTCACTGGGGCCGTGAGGAATTTTTGAATACAACGGGTTTTCAAATGAACAGAACTTAGAAAAGGTGGGAGGCTAGGAAGTTACAAATATTCGGAGCAAGAAGGGCTGATCATTTGTTGTGCCGGCTAGTTTGCAGCTGCGAGGCTCATATTTTCCCGCCATACTTGGTCATAATTTTTGCCGAGAAAACGGAGGAACAGCAGGTCTTGCTGCTGGCACTGGGAAAAAAAAAAAAGATAACTTAGTCGAGATCAACTAAAAGGTGCGCATGCAGAAAACAAAACATGCTTAACTGCAATACGGTGATGACACACGGGCAAGCATGTCTGCTTCTCGCTGTGTCAGCACGTCGTAGAATAGAATAGAATACTTTATTTTGGGCATAGTTACATACAACATGAAATATGTCCACGAGGCAGAGCAAAAGGAGACTCGTAATCTCCTGACGAGGCCTTCACCCCGGACTCGCACGTCGGACAGCCAGGAGTAAAACCAGAGAAAATAAGTACATTGCACCAGAAAAAATAAGTACAGAGAAACCAGAAAAAAGCGACTGCTCATTGCACTGGTTATATAAAAAAAAAATTAACAGCAAAAACTAATTAGGACAAAAATGATTCAGTTCACTTTGTGTTTAACAATTATACAAAGTTATACAAATGTACAAAACTACATAATTTTCACGTTCATTGCAAAACAATTGTATATTTCAAGGAGGCAGGAACAGTTGCTTTACTTGTTTTTTAAGACATGATATACTTGAGTTTTGATTGGCCAATTCAATTAAGGATGGGTTTGCATTCAACAATGAAATAATCTGATAACCTGTAGTTTCAGTACCGTAATTAATCAGTAGTCACAATCTCGTTAATGAAATAGTGCGAAGGTCATATGCCACTTCTCTGTTTAGATATTTGTTTGAGAACATTGTGCAATCATGTTTGAATTTGTGGAAAATTATTGTTGCCATGATGTGGCCATTTGCCCATTCTTCCTGGTAAAATGAAGAATTTAAGGATGGACAGTGTGGTGAAGTTGGCGATATGTTATGGCTTGAAAACAAGATCATTGACACTTTCAAATATAGTTTTCGAAGTACGCGTTGCAAGCAGCGACTCTGCCAGTGCTGCAAGTGCGCGAATTGTTGGAGCCACCGGCAATTTAATCGGAGGTTCGCATACATTGAATGTTTTTAGAGTCCCAGAAAGAATGGTTAAATCATGACGCGCTGACGTAGCGAGAAACTTGTAATGAGCTGCCTGCTTGTCACCGCTGTATTGCAGTGAAGCATGCCTTGTTTTCTGCAGGTGCACGTATCGGTTGACCACGAGACCATTTTTTTTTTTTTTTTTTTTTCGCACTGGAAGTCGTGGGGTGCTCTTCAGCTGCCACTCATTAGCATCACCACTTTTCAATGCCTTATGGCTCTTAAAGGCCGTCGTTTCCATGTATTTGTGGTGAAACTAAGATCGGTAATTGACTCATGACACCCAAAGTTTTGGAATTATCCGGACTGGTCCTTACCGCCACTTCAAGTGATCCGCTCAGACCTATATTGCAAAATATGGGGCTGCGAAAATATTTCGAGCTAAGCGGGATTTCAAAATGACGGAGTTCGAATTATTGAGGTTTTACTGTGCATTCACTACAGAATAATGTTGAAAGTACACCCGTGAGAAAAAGTATATGGACCATTGCCTTTCATATACTTTTGCTGTCTGCTTCATCTAGGGGCTAGGCATTGGCTGTAGAAAGCATTTCTGTGTCAAATTCCATCATGGTAATGCTCTCTAGAGCTGTTCTGTCAAACCAGTGCTCTACACAGCAGACGGCGTGTGACTGGACAGAGTTGGCAGCTATTTTGGCTTGCACTTTCGTGGTCTGTGTACTTTTGCTTGTGTTGTATGAGACGAACAAATATTCTTTCGAGTTTTTGTCTCCATTGAATCTTAATGCTTTCCTGCCTCAAGCAATTGGGCGCTCTCTCTGATTGCAGAAGAGTGCATTCATAAGGTTCCATTAGGTTTGCACAGGTTTCCTCTCGGTGTTGCATCTTGGCCAGGCTTCACAGACATGAGCAAACCTTGCATTGCTATTTTGTATGTCTTATTTCAAACACCTGCATTTACATTCTCAGCCTTTTTGTTGTTGTTCTTTGTCTTTCCTTGGTATTTTATCAATTGCGCATTTAATGGTCTTCATGGCTGTGTGTGTTGTTTTTTTTGTTTTTTTTTGTTTTTTGTGCCGTGTGATAGTTATGTACATATGTTTGTGTGTGCAAGCCCACTCGCTCTGCGTATGTACTACGCAGGGCATCAAGAAAGGTCAGTCTGGCATCAGCTACCGCTACGACGAAGAACTGGTGGTTCCCATCATCGAGAACACACCTTTTGAGCGGGACCTCAAGGTGGGTGCTGCTTCCTTTTTTGACAGAAACAGTCCCAGTGGCCATCCCTTAGCTGAAGGATTGGGGTAATATTCAATAATGGACGTTGTAGGCAATCATTTTTGTCATAGGCATTCATTGTTGTAGCCGCAGCACCACTTCTGCATGAGCTTTTTCTTTAGTGTAGGCTTCTTTCTTTCTACTCTAAAGGCTTGTTTGTAAGAACTCGGAGAGGGTTGTAAAATTTTTTAAATTTGTGGATGGGCACTATAATGAGCGAACATTAATGATTAGAAACAGCATGAAACTAGCACGGGCAAGAAATCGCACAGGACCGGCTCCACGCTGAGTGATTTCTTATCCTTGTTTATATCGCGCTGTTTCTAACTGTGGATACGTACCACCTGGCTCGTTTTGACTCTCTATTAATGGACATTATGCCGCATTGGGAAGGCAGAATCCAGAGAGGCCACCGCAAACTCGTCACGAATCAGGCGCTGCCACACATTTGTAGTTGGGGATTGCATAAATTAAGTTCATGGAGTTCTGATAGCAAACAGAATTAATGAATTAGTCAGTGATAGATTGATTGTGAGAGATTGAGTCTCTAGTAAATTCAGCTTGGTTTGGTTTTCGCGACATACTGTGCTTACTCTGGAATGTATTCTGCGAGGAGCGATCTATACTAGGGGTTCCTGGTTTATATTAATCGTTGTAGATTTTGTCATGTTCAAATTATCTGGTGTTTTTCCCCGGGGTATGCCGATCTTAGAATTTTCAATTGTTTTTCTAATACTCTTTGCTATTCGATTCACACCTGAATTTTAGTGTTCAGAATTTTTGAACTTCTGGAAAACAAATATAACAATATGTAGTACAGTGAAAGCTCGTTAATTCACACCTCATTAATTCAAAATTTTGGATAATTCGAAATGGTCGCCGCAGTCCGGTCCGCAGTGCATAGGAGACCATGTGTAAAACGATTCGTTAATTCGAACAGAAATTGCTGCCTCTACGGATAATTCGAAGCGCGCGCCGCCGAGCGTCATCATCGTCACACTAGTGGAAGCTTTTACGGTCGAACGATAGGTGGCACGACCAGTTTTTTCGAGCTTCAAGTGGCCTCCGAGCAAAGGGCGAGCAAAGTATGGCCTCCAAAATCCAGGGAGCAATTTTTTTTTCGTAGCCCTCCCGCTATCTTAGCGCCTGGCGCCACTTGTACGCGGGACCCACGGGACGCTGAGGAGTCGGCGGAGTAGTCCTAGCAGTCCTAGGCCGCTCCCGGCAGCGTCACTTTGTTCCTCGAGCACGTTGTTCGTTCACGAATGATTTTGTGCGCGGAGGACAGGAAAAACTTCGGCATTACGCTGCTCACTGCCATGCACATGTTGGTGCGCGCATGAGAACAGGTGACCGCGATCACAATCGGAAACTGTTTCCGCCACAGTGGATTTGCAGCTGGAAGTGCGCAGGATAGTTGTGACGTCGACATGGATGGGGCTGAGGAGCTCATGCCAGTGGCATCGCGCGACACTCTTCGGGGCGTACGTTTTGCCGATTATGTTGAAGTTGACACCGGTGCATCGGTGTGTGCTGCCCTGACTGATAAGGACATTATCGCTCAAGTAGCCGGTGTGCAGCCTGATGCTGAAGAGCCAGAAGGTGAGGAAGACGAAAATGACGAAGCGCCTGTGCGCCCGTCAGCTTCTGCGGTGATGGAGGCACTTAATGTGGCGCGTCTCTTCTTCAGCTTTGAAGAGGGTGAAGAGAATTCCCTGCGCCGCGTCCGCGCGCTGGAACAGGGAGCCGCAGCTGTGGCATTTAGAGAAAAGAAGCAGATGGTCATCACCGACTTTTTTGGCCAATAAATATTTTTCGTGCCCCCCCCCCCCCCCCCCCGAAATCCACCCATTTTTGCTCACTTTCATTATTTCGAATTTTGTTTATATTCGAAATTGCTCAGCGTTCCCGTGGAATTCAAATTAACGAGCTTCTACTGTATTGGAAAAATAAATCTAATAACAATAAATTGCCGTAGAGCATCTTTGGTATGGTGTTCACAAGCGCATCCATGTGGAACTGCTGGCGGCTTTTACGGGTGCTGTAAGCGATTGCTGCGGGCCGACCTTGGCTGGGCGCTCTGATGCCAATGCAAAAATGGCATTCAGAATTTCGAGGGGCCAACGAGCGATGTGATTCATTGCTTGTGACCAAGCACATTGCGGCGTCTTTGCTTTCACTTGTCTGCCAACACTATGTTCTTGCCTGCAATGTTTGAATTCATTTCATAAGTGGGCGCCGTGAGGAAAGTTTGGCATAGCCATGACTTGAGCAGTAATATCAGTTGCGTGTCCGCAATGCCCAATGTTTCACAGTACGTAATGCTCGATTGTGATTTCGAAGGGTCATCCGACGTCTGAAGGGTTGATAAGCAAAACCTCTGAGTCCCACGAGTCAACGCTCGGTCCGGTATGCACGTCTGCCATGTTCATTCTGATCGTGCCGCACTGTCCTAGTACCGTATTTACTCGCGTAACTTCTGCCCTCACATAATTTGCACACTCTTAATATCTAGCTAGCTTTAATTAAAAAATATATTTACTTGCCTGTTTTGAGCTCCCAACACGCCCAAGCCAGCTCACTGGCACATGCACAAACAGACTTGAAACCTTCGGATGCTTTCCACAGGCATACCCCTCTCCGAGGGGGCGAGCACAGTCGTTTGAAGAGGCTGCAAGATCAAAGTCTCTTCTATTGAGGGCTTTCCCCAAACTATGGTTCCTAGAATACTGTACCTGAACACTCAAGCCTGTTGACGGGTCGTCGGGACTCCAGTGTTCGATTTTCCCTATCTCTTCGCCTCTTCCACTGTGAGAATGCACACTCTCAACATGGCACGGACTATTTTCTGCATCAGATGCGTACGAAGGCCTGTTGCGCCAACTGTTCCTCTTGTTCTCTGCATCTGCGCTGCGATGCAGGCTTGGTTGATTTCAGAAGTTCAGGTTTTGCCATCTGTCCGTCGCAGTTTTACTGTTCCCTTGCAGTGTGCTAAAATATATTTGGTGAAATTGAAGCTCGCTGGTATAGAGTTTGTCGTAGAAAACGAGAACTGTGTGACGGCCAAACACTTCAGCGTTAACTTCTTCAATGTTTGATTTTCGTTACAGGAGAGAGCACAAGAGTGCTTGCTTGCTAAAACAGTCTCCTTCCGTAGAAGACCTTTTGAAGCTTAATAAGTCCTCTGCTATTGCCGTACTGTAGGACCTCGTTTTTACAATCATGAGGAGCTTCAAGAAAATGGCACATTCGAATGCACTTGACGGTACCATGGACAACATACTTTGGGAGGGTAGTGATAGCAGTCGCGACAATTCACAGTCGGACCTATGATCAGTGACTTCGATTAGACCGCGCATAACCGAATCTGGCTGGTTAAAGTATGCACTACTTCTGCTAAATAAACAAGTACACCTTGTTTGGGCTCCTGTTTATTCTATCTATAATATATGCCATGCTTGTTATTACTATTGCACATTATTTTCGATGTGTTCGTGAAACCTCCACATAATTTGAGTACCCCCCTTTTGAAGCTCCAAAAGGGCCAATAAGAGTGTGTAAATTATGCGAGTAAATACGGTATCATGATTGAGCTTTTACTTGCAGCTGCTGAAATTCAGTGAAAGTGACCTGTAGTCAAGTAAATTCAACTCCAACAGCAAGGTACTCCCATACTTTCATGCCAACTGTGTCACAATCTACTTAATTCAAGGACTTCCACATCACAACTGCAGTAGAACCTCGTCACTTAGGACCCGTCAAGTGTCAAGTTTGCCTAGGGTTCTGTCTTCTCATAATTCAGTATGTGTAGGTTGCACGCACCGTCAGAACGGCTTGGACGTTCGCTATGGTCATGTTATTAGCATCCATGGTTTCTTTCCGCTGCGGACAACACTCAGTACCTTTGAGTCAGTGAAATGTGTGAGCGATGTGACAAAACTAAAACATGACCGAAGCTGTTGAAGATGAACAGTCTTTTAATTGTGGTCTACCTGCTGGTACAAAGCTTGTCTGATACCTCGACATAATATTGCTGATGAAAATATGATCATGCATATTTAGCGATTTTGCTGCGGTCCTAATGAGAAGGATATTGTGGCAAGATGAGAATTGCAGATTTTGCAGTGCTCTTGTGCAAAAATATGAGCATGATTTGCATATTATTAAAAAATGAGTTTGTTGTTTGTTTATTGTTTTCCGTGCACTCTCAGTAACATGGCATTAGACTGTTCAGCGTGACTGCAATGTTGTTCTGACTGTTCAGTCTGTTCAGTCTGAATGCTTCGTGTAAAGTTGAATTGAATTAAATCTGTTATGTAATTTACTGCTTTCATTTTGAAATTTTAGTTGCATCAAAAATTGTGTATTCTTTTGGCAATTCAGTGAACCAACATTATGCTGCAGTATCAATTTAACAGGGTCATAGCACATTGCAAACACTTGCCCAGTCCGTCTGTGACCAAAAAGAAACTTGCGGGCACCCTAATACATTTGCCTGAGACAACTCCAAAGCAAAAGCCACCTCCTTCTTCTGCTGCTGAGTTGGTCAATTGACTCTTCCCCTTCCAAAAGCTTCCTGCTTCTAATATGGTTTGGCACGGCCACCAGGATTGGTCCACCTTTGAGCAGGTGATGGTGTGGTGTCATGATGTCATTGAGTCACATCAGCAGTTGACATAAAAAGTTTTGGCAGTCCACAACGTTATAATCATATCATTTGGTAATATCATCAAATGATGATAGTTTTTATTGGTGGCGATAAGGTTCAATTTTTATGTATGATGTGACATCTTTCTCCTGATAAGACACTGTGTTAATTTCACTTCGAAATACTGTACACTCTCAGTAAACAGAAGCTGAAGGGACCGGGAAAATAAGTTCCATTTAATTGGAGTTCCGTTTATTGAGAGGTGAACATGAGTGTAGAATACAAGCCAGAAACCAAGCATTGCAGAGGCAGTAGTTTCGTTTAACAGATTTTCGTTTCCTGAGAGTCTACTGTACTATTAAACCTCGATAGATTGAAATTGACAAATTCCTGTTGCCTTAATAAAAAAAATTTAGAAACATTGATGCTAAGAGCATCCGCTTTTTGGGTGGTGGACGAATTTCAAAAGCATACATATCTTGGCGGCACTTCAACTAACCTGAAGTTGCCTGGATTGATTTGGGGCTTCTCACTTATAGCTTACCTCATAAATGCATTGTGGTTTTGGCTTGTGAAACTGCCCACTTTGAGGCAATGTAATTAAACGAATTCGTACTTTCCTGGGTTGCAGGAGAGCATGCGAGAAGCGATGGAGCGATACCCGGACACTTGCGCAGTGCTGGTGCGGAGGCACGGTGTCTACGTCTGGGGTGACTCCTGGCAGCGAGCCAAGACCATGTTAGTAGTGTGTTGTAGGGACAAGATTCATAAGTTATAAGATTACTTGCTTGGGCGACTTGGTAGCTATTCATAGTTAGCTTATTGCGCACTGCTTAAAACACAAACACTTGAGATATAGTCCTTCATCTCAAGTGCTCGTCTTTTAGGCAGTGCACAATAAGATAACTTTTAAGATTCATAAGCACCGGTTTACAACCTTCTGGGCACAAGATCCCAGTGCAATGTTGCATTGGGCAGTGCTTAAATCACTAAAATCTGAAGGCAGCTTAAAAAATGCCATAAGCATTTAAACGGTGAAAGGTCCATATTGAAATGGTGCAGCAAATTACTCATCATATCAGTACATGTAGCTATAATAATTGAGGAAACATTGAGAAGAGCACTTCTTGAATAATATTTCTTTTTGTCAATATTGCTTTGAAAACTTAAGTAAACTGAAATGGAGTTCATTTCATTGATTTTGTAGCTTGAGTGCAGTGGGTAATTTTATAATACAAACTGTGAAATTATGAGAGTCTTCAAGAACGAAGAGTTCAGTTAATGCTTGTCTGAATAATTAAACCACGCATGCTGAAGAATCATTTTGTCACTTGGGTGGCGATGTTGCAGGTGCGAGTGCTACGACTACCTCTTTGACATCGCCGTGCAGATGAAGCGTCTGGGCATAGATCCAATGCTTCCTCCAGAGCCGCAGCAGAATGCCGCAGCCGCGACAACGCTTGCCGAAGCAGTCCAGGTCAGTAGGCTGGTGTGGGTTGTCTCTTATCCACTCCTTGGTCGCCGTAAGTGGGAATGCACATCCTGTCGGGTAACTCCATTGCAATTGCGATTAAAGCTCACACCTTTCAAGGTAACTTGGCTTGGGCAAACATTTTCTTCCTTTGAAGCAAGCTTGAAGTAAGTAGTAATTAGAAGGTTCTGTGATTCTTCGAAACATCAAGAAATCGATACAATTTGTTTAGCTGTAAACCTCACTTTGAATTACTATTAAACCTCGATTTAATGAACTCAATAAATTCCTAAAGAATTTTATTACAAAACATTTTTTTTTTTGTTGAAGGATGTCAGTATTGGAAATTTAGAATATTTTTCTATTTTTCTTTGCTATTCAATGCAACTCACTCTGGAATTTCACCATGCATAACTATTCGAACTTCTCAAAGACAAATGCAGTGAGCATTCAATTGAAAATGACCGCTTTAGATTTTCAATATGTTTCACCCCATCGCACTGATATTGTGGCGAAGCGGCCTTTCAGGTTCTGCTACGGTTGCAAATGTATTGATTCAAGAAAATGCTGTTTCGACATGAAGATTACAGATGTGGCAGAGGCGGGGACTTGGCGAATGCTGTTTTGGAGCTTAAATATGTGCAGGAAGCCTGATTAATTAGACACCAAAGATTCTTAGTGCCCTATATATTGAAGCTGCAAAGAAGATTTGGAACTCAAGACTCGAAGAAGCACATGCTTGACTTCCACTTATATTGGGCTTCTACAAAGTCGAAAGAGCAGGAGAGGATCAAGGAATAACATCCTTATTTTTCACGCGTAAAGCGTTGCCGGCAACACAGTTGCACCAAACTGTGCACTATAATACAATTCAGCCTCTGCATTGCCTAATTCTTGATAAGACTACAATTAAACACCACCCAGCCAGCACTTCATCAACCTAGCAAGAAAGAACACTTTCATGTTGCTATTTAATAATATGGTTAGAAATTCTCTCCAACTTTTTTTCCCTAGAATTTCGCTTCAAAGCATTAGAAAAATGTTCTAGAAGTATTCTAAAAATACTCTATCCTATTCACACTTCAGTATTGAAATTTGTTTTGCAGACAAGTTCTCACTATTTGTACAGCAGCTTCAGCACAAAATTTTGAAAATTAATACACAAATTGAACAAAAGGAGGACTAAAGGCACAGCTTCCATGAAATAAAGGACAAAAATGCCTTATTCTTCATGACTTTGCTTTCGAAATGAAAGCATGGACTCTTGTGTATTTCAGTTATGTATGCGGCAAGCATCATAGAACGACGTCCTGTCTCTGGCACATGAAAGCTTCAGGGATTGGCTTGAAATGTGAATATTTGTTCCCCCTGTGCAGTGCCCAGTGCCACACTGAACCACTCGTTCAGGAAGTCTTATCTGTTTGGGGCACATATTAAAAGCGTGGTTGCGAACGGGTGCCTAAAGGTATTGGTTTCGGGCCCCCATGACGTTGAAGCAAAGCATTGCTCTTGTACCCTTACTGTTCTAGTACTATTCAGTCCTTTCGGTGGCGGTCACTCATGATTTTGTGTGCTCAAAAGCATGCGCAGGTTTAATTTCATTGTTCTTTCAGCCTTCAATAAAATCTTTTGTATTTGATATTGGCCACTATTTGGTGTTATTCGATTTGAATTCAATTTTAGGGGAAGTTCGACTATTCGCACACCCCTAATTTTCTTGCTTGAAATATTTTTTGCAGTTGACAATTGTTTTCAAATGGCTTGCTTGCATATGTCGTTTTAAGCATCTTGTGGTAGTGCATATGCACCAACGTGTATGCGAGGACGAAAAGCTTGCTCTTCAGGTGGTCAAAAATTTCCGGAGCCCTCCACTACAGCGTTTCTCATAATCATATGGTAGTTTTGGGACGTTAAACCCTACAAATCATCATCATCATCATGAAAAGCTTGCTCTTCGATTGCGCGAGAACCTGTGCCGCCTTTTCCAGCCTTGTCGTACGGCTCTTTTCTATTGCGACCTCGTTGCAACTTCTCCGATTCAATAAACCTCATCGCATATGGTGGAGGTTGCCGAGATCCCCGAGCAGACCTCGAGCTCCGTTCCCGCAAGTTGGCCGAAAGACCACTGCAAAGCATGACTGATGCTGTCGCCAACCAGCACACCCCAGCTCAGCCAGCACCACCGGCTGCCCCGTCTGCCTGCCCCAGCGCTACTCGTCAACCGGACCTGCCCATCTTCATTCAGTGGGAGTGGTGAGCAAGACGTTGAAGACTGGCTCTCCTTGTAGGAACGCGTAAGCACCAGCAACAAGTCGAACGACTATTCTAAGCTCAGCTACGTTATCTTTTACTTGGCTGACGTCGTTAAACTTTGGTTCACTAACCGCCAAACTGCCATCGCCAACTTGTCTACCTTCAAGACCCTCGTCACCGAAGCGTTCGGCCGACCTGAAGTCCGCAAGCTCTGCGCTGACCAGGGTCTCCGCCACGGAGCACTGCAGCCTAGCGAGACGTTTCCCAGTTATATTGAGGGTGTGCTCGACTTCTGCAGGTGTGTCAGCCCATCTATGCCTGAAAAAAAGATCCGACACATTCTCAAGGGCATTGAGGATGGCGCATTCCAGATGTTGCTGGTGAAAAGCCCGACCACTGTGGCAGTTTTCGTAAGCCTGTGTCAGAGCTTTGATGAATGGTGCCATCAGCGTTCCATCGCCCGGCATAGTGTCCCACCACAAGATTCAATATCAGCCGTCGCAGTCGCAACCGGCAAAATTCGTCAAGGGACCCTTTAAAACCAGCTGAAGGACTTTATCAGAGAGGAAGACGCCCGACAGCTCTCCCTACTGCCTCATAGCGACGTGCCCACCGCAAGGCTGCCTTCGACGCTGTGATGCCCTCCCTGCAATTCTGGTCTCTTTACCTGTGCCCTTCCGTGTCGTGCCATCTCCTCTCTCGACTTCCGGCTATGCACCGCCTGTGCCAACTTCAACTCTCATCTACGCAGCTGCGGTCGCGCGGCACCCGCCACATCCAGGCTCCTTTGAAGCACCACTTCATCCCGCCTCGCCTCCAGTTTACAGGCCCCCGCGTCGCTTTTTCCGTCCATCTGATGCGTGGCGCACCCATAACAACTGCAATATCTGTTTCGCGTGTGGCATCGCTGGCCATATTGCACCCGTCTGTCGCTTCCATCCTACACCTACGTACGGCTCTTTCAGAACTCCCACCTACGCGTTGCAATGTGCCACCACATCTGCATCTGAAAAGAGGCACTCCAACTTGGATCCCCACTCATCAAGTGCTCGCTTCCCTTTCCCGCGTCGCCGATCACCATCACCTATGCGTTGTCGACCACCTCCCGAGGAGGGAAACTAATCAGTGCAGTTCCAGAGACAAGAACTGCAACTTCTGCACAATTCTCAAGGCCTTCATTTTTGCCGAAAAACGTTGATGTTGAGTGAGTCGCCGCCGTTTGTGTGATGAACGAAAACTTCTGCTTGTGACTGAAGAAAGTGATCACATCTCTCTGTGACATGGTGCTGTCACAGCAAGCGCGCAATGCATTCATTTCTCGGCGGTGTGTGCGGCGCGCGTCGTAATCCAAGACGTTCTGTACATCGTCCAATTTTTCATTCTACCGTCTTGCTCTCATGACCTCATCCTGGGTTGGGATTTCCTATCACGTCACGAAGCTATCATTGATTGTTCATGTGCAAAAATGTCCCTTGTGCCAACATGTGAATTTCTATCGCCCGACCGTTCTCCTCTGCCCTGCAAACTCATCGTTGGCGACAACACAAACTTGCCTTCAGAAGCTTCAGTTCCTATAACCCTTTCATGTGCTGCTCAATCTGATGCCACTGTGGTGTTTATGCCATCTCCAGTGTTTACTCAACGCAGGGGAATCGTTCTTCCATTCACCGTTCTCACAATGGCGTCTGGTTCAACCATAATGCTTGTTACCAACCACTGCAGTTACCCCATTGGCTTACTCCGTGGTGAAACCTCAAGATACGTACAACTTGTGGATCATTTCGATGGTCTTGACCTTCCCGATAAAACCCCATGTTGTTACACTGCAAATATCACTCGTACGTCTGAGCCATCAAGTTCGCCAGCCTTCAACAACGCCATTGACGCAGACCTTGCCCCCTCTCATCATCGCCAACTTGTTTCTCTCCTTAGCAAGTTTCTCTCTTCTTTCCACTTTCAACAACCTTCGTTAGGCCGCGCCACGACTATCAGTCATCTCCCGCTATTGCCGCAACAGGCGATATTTCCGGACAAGCTTTCCTAATGTTCGACCGCCGTCAGGACCGTGGACACAATTCGCAACCTGCTTTTCCGGATGACCATCTTAAGGACCCTTCATCTCGCCGTTCATCTCTACGCTCCGAACCGTCCTACGCTGACGTCATCTCCCAAAGAAACTGGTCTAGCCGCTCGCAGTCACCTCAGGGTCGGCCGTCACGCTCCCCTCAACGCTGCTGCTCTTCGTCACCGGCTTATTCTAGTCATCTCCTGGGAAACCGACTAGTGCAGCTCCTGGAGGTGGCGCTGCGTTGACGACTCGGAACGGAAACCCTCAACCGGCTACAAATTTAATACGCAATTTACTTCGAGTGTTCGTTGATGGCCAGGCCGTCACTGCTCTAATTGACACTGGTGCCCAAGTATCTGTTATGAGTTCCACACTTCGATCTCTCCTGAAAAAGGTTCTCACACCTGCTATGTTCTCAACTGTTCGAGTGGCCACGGAAGTCGAACATCAGTGCTTGGCATGCACACTGCCGCGTTACTGTTGCCGGCCACGATACTTACGTTCTCTTCGCAGTCCTCGATGCTTGTCTACATGATGTCATCCTTGGAATTGATTTTTTAATCGCCCATTCCGCCGTCATCTATTGTTCTACCAGTATCTTACGGCTCGAATTGCCTTTGTGCACTGATTTCACTCCTCCAAGTCACACTCGGCTACGATCCGTGGAGTTTCTACGGCTACCGCT